ACTGATTTTACTGGCATTGCTGTGGCTACTTGTGGTATTTCTGGATAAGTTGCAGGTGGTAGGCGGTTAAAGAGTCCTTTGATATAATGAGCCGATTATCTCCTCTGCTCTTCCTTTTGAGTAACTAGGTTCTCTTCACTTCATACGTTTCAAATATGTTTATCTCTTCCCGTATAGCGACCTGGTTATCTAATATGATGTTCTGACGTTTCTTTCTCCTTGGCCTCTTCCGCGTGAGTCATCGGTGTGTCGCGAAACTCTTTTATCTTTTCGGGCACTCCACCCCATTTCGACTCGGCTGTTTTCTGTGAGCTAGTTGGTTTAATTGCAAGGCTTTCATTGTCTTTTCAGACAACATTCTCATTGCAAGCTTACGGTTCACAATTAAATCAGCCAGCACAGAGAACACAACCAAATCAAAATGCTCCACCTGAGCTACAAATGATCCCTATCGCTTCACTTCTTTATTCAGCCTGTTGGGGATTTAACTTGTCTCCTTCTTTAGCTGTTCACCTTTGCACATCGTAGGAGGTTTACAGTGTCACAAATATTCTCCCCTCCCATGTCTTTTCGCCTGTCACTCAGTGGAAAATCGAGATGTAGCTGTGTTACGGTGACAGATTCATTTGTTCTCAAGTTAAGAGCAAAATGAACGGCAGTTATTTTCCGATTGTGAAGCAGATTAACCTTAGGCACTAGTAACTGTATCAAATAATGACTATCAATCAAAAAATAAATGTGACTGCTTGCAACTATTTTTCACTATGCTTTAAGGGGCGACTGATAAAGACGTCAATGTATGAAGGGCTAAGAGCTGTTGTTTTTGTCAATAAATACAAGAGTATAAATGAATCACTGTGAAATATGGGTTCCAGTCGAATCACATTGACATGAACTTGCGGAGACTAGCTATTTCTGTTCACCAGTAAGGAAGAAAATAATAAGAGCTATTACGGATGGTAATTTTAAAACTATAATAATTTTTGGGAAACGTAGATAAAGTTTAACTATATGTAACATCATACAGTCAGCAGATAAGATTAACTGTGATCGCTGTGTCTGGGTGAAGTTTATTTCAGTGAAAGTCTGTGGTAGAAGATACTAAATAGAACCTTCCTTTCATCCGGTATAGCACCGTGCTCGTGAGTAATCTCGTGGTAATCATCTCAGACTATGAAAAACTTTAGTCGTTCAACTTTGATTTACGCAATCAGACCCAAATTTTTGAGGTTTAGGGATGCATTAGTGAGGATTCGAATCTGGATCTTGGTGCATTCCGGCTCCCGGAAGGTCAGCGTCACAATCTTTATGTTCTGAGACATGCTTACTCGACATTGCAGTCTTAAGAAACGTTTTTTGAAGGGTGTGCCAGGAGGCAGTGTGGAAAAGAAATTATGAATCTTGGACTGAGCCTTGTGTTTATTCATGCGTGACTGCTATGAAAGTGAAAAATGAAAGCATTTCAGAGAATACAGAATGTCAGTCAGTGGAATAGGTAGTTAACTGCCCTCACTCGAAGAATGGAATTAAAAAGTCTGACAGCTAAAGATCAAACATGATAGGAGTTGTAATAGAATTTTCTAGAAAATTCCTCCTGAACGATCTAATTACAATAGCGATACTTATTCGGATCTTTCAACTAACATTTTAATTATTATCACTTTTTACTCCAAGACTGTATATCATTGTTCTGACGCTTGCAAATCATTTGATTACTTTATCCTCATTATTTGTCGTGTCCATGTTTAATTTCTATGGTTGTATGACGACGTTGGAATGTCGTTTTCACTTGTGATTACATGTGAACAAAGTCAGGATCGGTATTAGGCACTGAATTAGGACTGTCTGCGCGAAATGCTTATCGTGAGATTCCTGCTAGCAGAGTTTTGATCCCAACTAGTCGGAAATATTCTACTCGGTTCTCATGTACTTCTCATGGTTGATCTTTGGTAAAAACTTTTCGTGCAGTACTTGTTTTTAACCAAGACTACTAGATCTAAACAGCTGCTCAGCAGCATAGTCTCCACGTAACCCTATTGTTAAATAGTACTACAGATTACTTAGCGGATAAATTTATTTCTGCTGTTATCGGAACACTTTGAGACTGTGTGTCACTGAACAAAGTTTTAATTAGCTACGAAGTAGAACGCGAAAATTGCTTCCTAGACTTCAGACCGCAATACAGTGGTTTTAGTCACCACAGAGGCCGTTTTAAAAGGGTGTATATTCGGATACACAACTCCTTCTCAAACATCAAAATAATTTTCTTGGAGTTCGGCCACTTACACTATGAATTATTTGAACTGCTCATGTAAAGTAAAAACGACGTCCACGATTATTGTGACAAACATTCGTCCTGGCGATTAGGCCGGGCCATTCCCTATCCTGGCCCATCCTCACTTGGTGGCCATGCTTCCCCTGATAACGTAAGGGTAATGAAAAGGCAACATTAAACTTAGATTTTTTTCATGAATGCATTTAGGGAGGAGGGTAAGTGTGCAAATAATGGCAGTTACGATTGCCGTACAGCACAATTACTAAGTTTTGTTATCACCCTTTCTTCAAATCCAGCGAAGGCAATAAACCAAAGAACACAGAGGATGAGGTGTTTCAAGAGTCACCGAGATATCGGTTCTTATCAGAATGTCGGCCATAAATTCTTCGAACGGATTGCTGACACCTGCACTGAATAGACATGCTACAAACCCCCACTTGGCTCTGAAGGCAGAGCACATATAACTACCAGTTGGTCGATTAGGTTTTGCTCTCCAGGCTAACAAGTGAAAAAATACAAAATAAAACAAGGCCAATGAGGCATAGTGAAGTTTGGTTGCTTGTTCACAAATTTCGAAGACGAAGGTCGGTAACTGGCTCACCAGTTTAGGTAATGAAGTGTGTGTACGGTCACACCAGTTCTGGGATGAAAGGATGTCGACAACTACGCAGGATACGCCATCTGCAAATGGAATTGTTCATCCTCCAATTCTCATAGTAGTTGTTCTGCTTAGGCCAAAATCAAGTGAAAACAACAAACCTGTCGTCCAAAATAGGAGATTAGCAGTATATAATTCCCCGAAACTCTGAGCTTCCAACATCCATCGCTCAGCGTGCGATATTGATTTTCATCGTTTGAGTTTATTCGTTTACTAGAAGATTCCTGTCGTCTATCTACTCCATCTCCGTGCACCGCCGTGTTAAATCCGTTCGTTGGTGCACCGTTACTTGCTTGTTAAATAGTCATCCTCTGACTACGATTTTTATCCCGAGGTACATTTTGTATTTTGGGAGATTACTTTGGTGTTTCGGTTAGACTTTGATCTACGTGGAATAATTACTTCAATTATGCCATAAGAACTTGCGTTGGTGTAAGTCATACTTCGTGCAAACATCATCCCCTCATCTCCTAAGGAGATATATTTCGGGACGAGAAACTTTGAGCGGCGGTCGCTATGAAGCGAGCACGAACTCCCTGTCGTGATGTGATAGCGTATCGAATGGTGAGGATGCTTGATTCTGTACCTAAGGATTAAAAAGCCAACTTAGATAGTGAGGGTTCGCACTCAATGCTGAGTGAGGAAGTCTATTGTCTAATAACTTTGGGAAATTACTTACCTCTACTAAGCTGAATTTTGCTGAAACCTCTTAATTATTAAAACTGATTCTATGCATCCACGCTTTTTGCCGAGTTAATGCCAACTTCTTTCATCCTAACCTTCTGCTCCCTTAGTATCTGCGGTCATGAAACCAAATTCCCTGCCTGATCACAATGTGGGTTGCCGTGAGACATGAATTTAGGAGTATTCTTAAAGATTTTAGGAAATAAATTACAGGGGTAATTCAGAAATCCGTACGTTTTTATGCTGAATACTTGAAATTTTGGATGTGATGTAGATGATCTGTATACTCTTCCATCAGAGTCTGTTGAAATGACGATACCATCGACACTCATAATACCAGAAAGCGGATGGTAGAACAATGGAAAATGCCAGTTATCACGGCATTCATGGACTGATTTCCCCTAATTTAAACTTACAACATACAAACGGAACACTAGTCAGTCATGATATTTGGCTGCTCAACTGCAGTCCAGGTCTTGGACAGAATACACACAGTACACATGTTATGTGACCAGGCGAAGGTAGTACATAGAGTATACACAGATGACTCCAAGCGAAGATGTCGGCTCGCTGATCTGAAGTAAAGAAACCTATCCATCCCAATTACAGATATCCACCAAATCGTTGAAGCTACATTAGAATCCTTCACGTTATTGGTCACCTGACTTTAAGACTATATGCATGTAGGTTATTCGATTAGTAAATGAGAAAAATTCGGTGGAGAAATGGGTAGGCTTTCGAGAGATTGCAAAAAATAGGTAACATAAACAAGCACTGAATGAGATGTAGTAGTGTGTCCACATCATTGTATGTGTCTCCAAACTAGCAAATTGCTGAAAAACAGCGAGTTTTTGCATGTATAGTAGCTCACACTGTTCTTTGAAATGTTAAATAACATTCGCTAGTATGGACAACTGAGCATTCAGTCATTTTGACTCGAAAGAGAAATAACACAGTGAACTTTCTCTCCTTAAAATGTTGTGTACATTAAAATGGTTTCCGGGAGATTAATGATATTGTGATAATTATACTGCACGCATGTTGTCCAGCGTCACTTCTGTAATCATTTGGTGAGAATGAGAAACAGTCTGACAGTTCGAATAAAGTACACAAGTCCTGTCGGTAAAAATGAGATGTATTTTCCTGGGCTCCATATTAATTTGTTTATTAGATATATCACACAGTGAAACAGTGTTATTATATCTGATATGGAATTACATACTACCACTGTGCCCAAGTTTAACACATTTGGTAATACTTTCCGGGATCTTTACTGAGATATTTCATTCAAAAAGGAGTGAACATGTAGATGTATCACTTTGAAAGAAGCCGATTCAATCACCAGGCTTTTATATGTAAATCGAAAATATGCTTTAAAAAATCCTATAGTGAGATTGAAGGTTGAAGGGTAGTAAACAGTTTTGTTTATCAGACCTCACTGAAACCGAAAGTTACCGTAACGTTTGCTGGCGGTTACAGCATTATCGCATACGCAGTTACCAGTCCAAATGAGTCCAGACTAGTAAGTTTCCAAAGCTTTGCATAAAATTGCTCTGTATTATGGCGTATTTTACTTAACCTTTTGTTCTTTCTCAGCGATTACCTTTTCAAACTTCTACTAATTGGGGATTCGGGTGTTGGAAAATCCAGTTTACTCCTAAGATTTGCTGTAAGTTGTTAACACGTATTTATTGTTGAATTATATTAGGATGAAACTTATAGTGAAACATACATTAGCACAATTGGTGTTGACTTCGTAAGTTCATAATTACTTAAAGATTCATGCGTAGAAAATACGAACTATCGATCTGGATGGTAAAATTGTAAAACTTCAGATTTGGGATACCGCTGGCCAGGAACGTTTCCGAACGATTACTGCTTCATACTATCGTGGTGCTCAAGGGATTATAATTGTTTATGATATAACAGACCAGGTAAGTGAATTGAATAACTTGAATACACTGGCTTATTGTCAATTTTTTGAATACTGGCTGGGATTTTCCATATTTAGAGGTTGGTATGTTGCCATTTTAGCAGTTTATATACTGTTTCATATATCCTTAAAGTCATAAGGCCAAGAGCTTTCTGCATTCCTTGTCGACTGTTGTGCAGTGGTAACAAAAGTACTAATGTTGGTATTTTCTATATTCTTAAAGCTTTCACTGACAAGTGATCCTCCAGATTATGAGTGTTTGTAAATGCTGCAGATATTTCGGAGGACTCATGTGTTTGTTGATGAGAGAACTAGCCAGTTTGTGACTTTAGATGATATTTTTCTGTTATCAACAAATCTAGCAATTTCTTGATACGATCAAGATGAGTAAATCTGTGAGACTTCTTTGTGTGGTCTTCCGGATAACTCATTTGCCTATAATAGGTCTGTATTAGGCTATAGACCACATTGTGTGAAAGTAGACACTACCTAATCACCCATGCGCAAGTTGAGGTGTAATCCGAACCCGAGACCTGTCGGCTTACTTTACTTTGCTTCGGCTATCTCCTACGGAAGGATGAGCCGGCTTCATGAACTTCTCAAGTTATCGCTACCCAGGCGCAGCGATCTGATGAAGAGAGTTTACGAAGTTTCATGGGAATTTGGTACGAGTGATGTCCCCAGAACCACTCGGCCTTTTGTTTGAGAGTGCAGCTCTAGCCTTTACACAACCAAGTGTGACCTACAAGGCAGTAGGAGTGGAGTAGGGAGTCCACTATCTATTGGCAGCCGGTGACCGGAGTTCGGTTCATACGCCTTTTTGAATGGGGCCAGACATCCAGGACATCCAACAAGCCCTTTGTCCATACGTCTGCCGGTGAGCTCCAGTGAGCTTCATACGCCAGTCGTTGGAGGTTTGGAATCAGGGTTTAGCCATCTCCCCTAGACTGTCATCCAATGGACAGTCAACCCGGTGAAGAGCGCCGGGCATCCGCTCTCGCCCTCTCACTTTGGTGAAAAACACCTCCGCCACGTGAAGGCAGTGAGTAGGACTTCCTCAGGAGAGGCTATGTAAGACGCCCGGTCATATGGGAGCATTTCAAGAGGTGTGTGGAGGGGTGGCCAACCCGCAGCGCAAGGCACCCACCCCCGACCATCCTAAGGCTTTGGAGGCTGGGCGTTAAGCGCTTAAAATAATGAACTACACCTCACCCTATTAAGCAATTATGTAGGAATTTATGAAGCCCAGTAGCCTCATTTTTATAGTTGCTTAGTGGGTTTAGGATATGTTACTCTTAGGTGCTGGGAAAGGATTGAATTGCTTGTGATGTCTCACTTCTTGCTAGCTGAAATATATCAGATCAGCCATCATAGATGCCCATCAGGTTGACTCTTAAACTCGTCTTGTATTAAGGAGGAATCCGTGTCTTAACTTCAGTGGCACATTACGGCGTCGTGGATGTTTTTTAACATCACAGGTAGGTGAGTCAAGCTAGCTTAATGTTAGTGGTTTAGACTAGCTAAACCATAAATATATATATTGGCCTGTTTTCCATGAACCTGACCACACTGGCACTAGTTCCACTACAGTGATCAGTATACCAGTGTGCCATTTGAAATATTTACCCGGAAGTAATCATATTCAGCTTTGACTAGAGGTAATGCAATATAGAGTGTCCCATTGTACAGATCATGCATTTGGCTCCTTGTTCGTGTAGAAGTCATACTCAAACCTTGGATGACTGGTTTCAAGAAGTATTCCAGTGAAACTCACCTCACAGCTAAATTTTTCTTTCAAGCTTTTCTATGTTCAGGTCAGCTTCTAATTTCTAACGTAGGGAAATTCTGGATTTACGGCTAGTAGACATTCGATACTACATAAATAAGCCAAACAGCTGTAGTTTAGTCACTACCCATAACCGGTTGCTTTTAGCGAAGACCTGGTCCCTCGACTCAAACATGTATCTGCCTGAGGGTCGCGTAGTATGTCTGGTTGTTGAATAAGTGGTTTTTGATGTTTGAGGCTAGTCAACAGGCTGCTGTAGGTTACAGCTTCTTACGCAGCAGCACAGACCAGCAAAGTATTTTTCAGTTGTCCTTTCATGGTCATTCCACAGTGATGCCAAATGGTGTTGTGATTGGTTGTGTTGAGATCACGTTGTTGTGTTGATGTTTTCTGCAACAGTTAACATTGCCGGATTTTATACATCTGTTCTCGACTCCTGGTGGAAATTCATATTATTTCCTGTTTGGTTAGTGTGCAGTCCTATTATGTTTAATGTTTTCAATCACTTATTGGCGCACTTCAGTGTTTCTGCAGTACAACCAGAGTTTATATCCTTTGAGTACACACTATGCACTTGATTCTTTGAAATTTTGACTAAAAATGTTACGTAAGATACCAACAAGGGTGCTTCAGGTGTCATCTAGAAGGGAAAATAAAGGAGACCCGTGAAGAGTTTCGGAAATCAGGTGTTGACGAAGAGCGAATGCACTGTCATTGCTGACGGATTTAAGCTACCCCACCAAAAGTCATCCATTGGCTCTTAGCATCCGAAAGACCTCAGTCAGACAGTCTCCGCATCTATGTGGCTTGGATCGATATTACAGTTATCAAATAGGGTAAGGCGAACTGCTGCACAGCACACTTCCATTGATAGGTAGTCGGGCTTCACATCAGTCCAGAAGGTAACAGGTAGACAAATGCCCAACAAGCGTTCAGTATCCCCTAAGATTTCGTCAGCAACTAGTTCATTGTGACTGGTGGACCTCCCAAATGAAGATGGTCAACAAGTGTAAGCATTGCCGTTAAGGTATTGGTCGATGCACAGCACCATCTTTTCGACGGGAAGGGAGTGCTTGTTGGAAGTATTTAGATTTCATCAGACGTGTTCGACACAGCACCTCTTGATCGACAAAGTCAAATACCGCCATAAATACAAGGGACGCGACAAGTGTCGGACGCTATCAAATGTGTATGAGTTCCAGAAAAGGTGGAAGAGCTAAGGCAAGTGATTAAGTCTTACTCTTACTGGGTCAAGTAACATGTTTACATTTGAACAGGTTACAGTTTCGATTTGACACTAGTAACTAGTGTGATGCGTTTAGTCCTCTCTTTGGTGCAGACTGAATTCTATCAGTCAGGTTGTAATGTGGCCACCATTCTAGGTAGCTCGCCATCACGGTGTACATTGTTTGTGATGATATTAGATGGTTGGAGGCAATCGGAAGGAAGCCTTGGACCTAGGTTTCGTGCTAGTTGGCACTCGTCAGCAAGGCGTATCTGCAACCTTGAAAAAACTCATGTCCCTTCTGAGATTCGAACCCGCATCAGAAGGGACAGTGTTGGGCATCAAGGAATGCGCAACACAGAATAATAAAGAGAAGCAAAATATTTTATGACAAAAGTTTAAAAAGTACACATTGAAAGCATTCAAAGGCGGATTCATTACTTCATCTTACTTTCAGAAGGTTACAGTTTCGCTTGTCAGTGGTGTACTTCGAATTTCCATTCATTAATTCCAAGTGATATTGCAGTCAGTCACTTTTAAACGCCATACTGTATTAAGACCATTAAGATGTAGACACTGTACTAGTCGCATATAACAGAGATATAGAATAAGGACTACTGAAGTTAAGGTGTGCTATGCTAACTGTAAGAGTTAGAACTGAACATGACATATGTTTCGACTTGCTTCTAGTGTTTTATTTAGCAGTCAATAGACACGAAAGAGTCACACTTCTGGACAAATCGCGTTTTGGCCTGAAAAACTTCTTCCAGATGTACTGTGCATTCTATCTTTGTACATGCAGTGTAGTGCTAACCAAGTCTTCAGGCCAATACGAATGCTCACCTATGACTCACGTGATTTCTAATTCATATAAAACTATAGATGTGTGGTATGGTAGTCGTCTGCCCTACTTTTACTGCTGTTCAGAGTTATACATCATTGCGTAAGGCAGTTACAGTTTTGTTCACGTGTTTTCTTGACGCTATATGAGTAACTGGTAAACAAAGTCAAGCCAGTTAGGTTATGCACCTTTATTGACTGAGTTGGGTAAGAGGCGTTATCTGTCAGTTGGAAGCATTTTACTACTAATAGCACTCTCTGGTATGAGGTCGGAAAAAAGTTGCCTGGTTCTAGACATTCCACAAGTCGTAATATTAGTTAAACGTATATACGTGAATGATGGTCTAGTTGGGATCCAGCACTGAAGAGCAAATGAATGAAGACTAAAGTCACTCGTGACTATTTGCGTATATTAGCGATATGAGTTTATGTTGGTTTGCTATTTTTTCACGTTACAGTAGGGAAGTGCAACATTTTCGTTATTGATTTCAATTCTGATGAAATCTTGAGTTACTGAGCCATATTACCTGTCAGACGCTACCTAGGTAGTTGTGATGCGAGAATAAACGCTAACCCAACGCCACTTTTTCATCTTATGGCATCACAACATGTGCCAACAACTTCTGCTTTCTTCAGTCGGTCCCAGGGCTAGCTAACAGTAATTCGTAATATGTAACCAAGCTGCTGAGGTTGATATTTCAAGGTGACACTGAAATACCGTCTCTGTCCTGTCCAAACTGTCTTTGTAAATAAGAACTACTCACGGTGACGTCGGATACCGGCGGTCCTACGGAGATAGCGTAACCAGATGTACGCTTGCTGCATATCAACAGCTTAGAGAGGTCAGATTTCACAGTTGTGAACCTGACATTTGAAGGCTAAACTAATATCGTGGTTGCGCTTGGTCAGTGCAAAGCACACATTTGTTGAAACGCCTAAATGATAACCGATTAAGTGTAATTTGTGTTGTCGCGTAGTAAGAATTTATTGTTTTCACACTGAAGGTAGAACTCTGTTCAGGTATAACACATACCATCACCACGCACATCCTGTCTTCACATAGTCATCGGTGGCACAGTTTAAGAGAAATTGCGAGATCAGCCACCAGTGTCTAACCCCACTGCTGGTTGAGAAAATCGGTGATAAGTGATTGCATACCCGCATTCTTTATGTTTTTGTATAATTCTTTAAATGTGCTTACACTTAAAGTTTAGGGACATTCTTGTCGAAGAAACTATACTAAATAGTAATCGAATCCAATGAATCGAAAGCAACTCTAGTATCAGGAAATACAACAATTGCTGACAACCATTACACATGACAACTGACAGAGGGTGGACACGTAATAGATGCATCCGGAACCTAAACGATATGCAGCTTGTTCTTTGGGAATCACTTTTTCACTCTTTCTGCGGAGCTCTTGAAGTTTGACAGCAGTCGGTATTTAAGTGCAACTAAAGCGGAATAATGCCCAAACGTGTACCACATGCATTACATAGTTCGTTTTCAAAGATATCTGCAATGATGCCTCACTATACTGACTGGACAACCTACCTCCCATACATTCCTAAACAATTTAGTCTTTTTTTGACTACAGGCTTCCTACTATCTTTTAAAATGACTAGGGGCTGGATGTCTTATGGGGCTTCAATACTGAAGGGTTTACTCCAAATCTCCTCTTCACCGACTTATGAGGTCACCACCATGGAATAAGTAATGTTTTCCAGTGTGCTCTTCCCAGCACTCTAGATGCTTATGTTGGTTGTTAACCAAGATAACATCTGCTTCACAGCCCGTCTTATTGACATAATTTTTGCTTCCAGGGGCTCGGATGAGTTAGAACAGCATCTGACAGTTGGTAGCTACAGCTGTCTGTATGGGAATGGTAGTGTATATAGATTCGGTCTGCTTACCCGTGAATTCATAAAACAGAAAAAAATAAAATCTCCGAAATAGTGTTTTGGAAAATACACTGAAATAATCGATGAGCCCAATTGAACATATCTGAATACTTCTTCATTGTGGAAAGTAAAAGCTGAAAACGTTTAAAAGTAGTTGTGTTGCGTTTCAATTTAAGCTTTTAGACACTCATGATATGTTTGAAGTTGGGAAAAAAACTTGCTGAATCTCAAAATTAGATTAATAACACCACTTCGTCTAGAGCTTAAAATTATGCAATGAAGTGAAGTACACTTTATTTCTATGCTTCATTCAACAAATTGATCCCAGTTTCAATAACTTTTCTTTTCAGCAAACATTTGTAAATGTCAAAAGTTGGCTTCAGGAAATCACCTGTTATGCAAACTCCAAAGTTAATCGTCTTCTGGTTGGAAACAAACATGATTTGGCGAGTCGGCGAGCTGTTGACAAATCGGTTGCAGAGGTTTGTTAAAACATCTTTTATTATTTTGTTAAGTTACATTAGTATTCGTCAAGGAGAACGAGTTGTTCAAATATTGTTTCTTGGTAGCAAGTTCTTCGGTATTTGTTACTCGTAAAATAACGAATTCAATTTGTATGGCTAACACTAAGCCTATAAATAACGTTCACATTCGGCTATTTAACGGTAAATCCGTAGAAACGGGAATACTTTTCACGAGAGTTAAGGATTCGAATTTGTTAGTTTTTAGAGGAAAAGCATAGCATAGCAAAGGAAATGAAAATAGGTTAATTGGAGAGTCACTATACACCAAGGCACAAATCGTAAATGGTATATATTAAAAAAACACAACTTGTATGGTGATTTCCTCCGTGATCTATTTCCATTTCCTTTGCAACACTTAGAAACCGACATAGCCCAACTCGTTTTAAATAATATTTCAATTACTTTGAAGTAACGGTTTTTGAAAGTCTTTTAGGTTACGTAAGATTATTTGGTTGGTTTTCAGAATTCGGTATTTTTGTTGACAATTAGTTTGATTGTTTTGGTTTCAAGTTTATCCTCTCAGTTTTTGTAGTTGTGGTTTTCGTTTGCTTGGACTGAGAAGTCTGTGAACTAATAATTCATTCCAAGTAACCTAAATAAAATCTACCGTGCTAGCCTTTACCTCCTTGTTGGCTATCTTTAAAGGGAAATGCATAAAAGAGAGATATTTAGATTGAGTTCTTTCGTGTGATAGTATAAATAAATAGTATCTGAGTGGTAAAGCTTTTCAGCAATATGATGGTAGTTGACAGTGGTTCCACTGCATAGAGAATAACGTTGTGATACATACAGTGCTGATAATGTCTAACATAAACTAGGTTTTTCAATCGAATTTGGGTTCAGGAAAAAACACTCCGGACGTCAATTCCGTAAAATGTAGTACATACCACTGATCGATATGAGTACTTGGGAACCACTGACACAGACTAGTAGTGTCTAAACTCAAATACACTCAGTAAATCTTTCATCATGTACCAGGCTAAAGACCACATGTATTTTGTCTAAGGGCTGATGATACCACCCACCTGCCCAAACTAAATTAAGTGGAGCGGAACTCGAGCCCGAAACCTACTCTGGCTGGAAACCTAATATCTAAGTTAATGAGTCATATACCCACGCCAGTAGTGCCTGCTAGGCATATCAAGTGATCTAGACGCGGGTTGGCTGCTTCTGTCGTTGTGGGCCTGACTCAGCTCAGCTGAATCGAATCAGTTCAAACCACCCAAACTCTGACTTACTACTCGGGTGAGCTTGTAATATATGGTATCAAATGTGTTACTTGTGGATAACACATATCGAGGCGAAAATTCACCATGATTCTTAAAAACTAAAAATATTCAGATTACTCTGTGTTATCTTATATATCATACATAGTTTCCAGGGGTTTATATCTCCTCGATCATGACGGAAAGCACTACCACTTATATCAATCAATATGTCATGTTATGTTGTTTTCTCGATTGTCATTCATGTAATCTATTTGATCGCATATTGTGATTAGAAGAATTTTAGGTTTGGACAGGCGGTCAAATTCAGTTTCTACCTTAATACCTTTACATTCGAAGATTATTGCATTTTCCGTTTCCCTCACAACCATAGGTGCAGTTTTAAGAGTTTGTTAATTAACAATTATTTTCAAGTGTTGGTTTGTAGGGATTTGATTGGTTACAGGATTTTCATCATGAGCTGACATTAGTTAGAGAACCATTGGAAAACCTGGGAGTACTGGACAACTGTTTCGTCCTAGTTTGGGACTCTTCATCAGTACGCACCCACCGGGATTCGAACCCAGGACCTTCTGGTTACAAGGTGAGCTCGTAGGTCATTAAGCCACTGGGACCCGATCCAATGGTCCATGAATTCTAACTTCTGCCAATTCACGACATAGCGCGACCCCTAACCAATGTCTTCGGCGAGTATTTGTCCTCATACCCGACCTGCTGCACCCTACTGGTCACGACATCCCACTGAAACCACAGGTAACTGCCTATCTGAATACGGCCGGTCGCCAGTGAGCATCTCATTGACATTCAAGTCACGCTATATCGTGAATTGGCAGAAGTTAGAATTCATGGGCTGTTCATTGGATTGGGTCCCAGTGGCTTAATGGTCTACGAGCTCACCTTGTAACCAGAAGGTCCTGAGTTCGAATCCCGGTGGGTGCGTACTGATGAAGAGTCCCAAACTAGGACGAAACAGTTGTCCAGTACTCCCAGGTTTTCCAATGGTTCTCTAACTAATGTCAGCTCATGATGAAAATCCTGTAACAATTATTTTGATGGAGCTGTGGCTTCATCACTGGCATTCATGTCATTTCTACACTGGTTCACAAAGTGACGTGACCAAGTAAAGTCAAATTTTCATAATATATTACTGATCTTAACTTTAACAAACCTCTCGCTGTATTTTTGATTGAAGAATTGAATTATTCATGTTATCAGATGCTTTTGGAATGTCATTTGTGGAGCTTCAGCTTAGTGGTTTTTATATTTGAGTTTACAGCCGCTGATCTGTAATTTTGAACCTTATTTGCGTTGACTTAGTTTTAAACAGCTAACGGATATTGGTTGGAGGATTTCATCATGACCTGTCATCAGTTAGGGAACCATTAGAAAACATGGGAGTACTGGACAACTCTTTCATCCTAGTTTTGAACTCTTCATCAGTACGCATCCACCGGGGTTCAAACCCATTGGGTCGGGTCCCAGTGGCTTAATGGTCTACGAGCTCACCTTGTAGCCAGAAGTTGCTGGGTTCAAACCCTGGCGGTGGGTGCGTACTTCCGGAGAGTCCCAAACTAGGACGAAACAGCTGTCCAGTACACCCAGGTTTTCCAATGGTTCTTTAACTGATGTCAGCTCATGATGAAATCCTCCAACCAACCAAACAAAATCCCTACAAAACCAATATTTGAAGATATTGGTTTTCTCATAGAAATTCGATAGATGGAACAAGAGTAATGTTACAGCGTCATTCATAGATTTACGCATCTTTTTTGTTCTATAAAATATGTTATGCTTGAATTTCACATTGTTCCCAGCCTACACAAAGTTGTGCTTGATTGTTGATTCAGCTACCTTATAATATATCTTTTCACTGTAATTCTCTTGTTTTCGTTTCATCACTAAACTGTGTGGACACTTAATACATCAGACAATTTTATAGGGCGCTACATACTTAGACACAATGTTGTGAATACTGTCAGTGTTCTATTTAGCTTCTCTATGGTCTGAAAATTCCTATTTCATGTAAGTAAGAACACATGAGTCAACAAAGAGGTCACCTCTTTTCGTAACTTCACTTCAAAGCTGCTGTACAGTTATTTAGGAGGTTTATAGATATACAGTGTAGATTGGCGAAAAAGGGATCAAAAAACTGTACTAAGGCCATGGTAGTTCAAGAGTCTGGGTAAAAATTTCTGAACACAAAGTTCTGGTTTCTCCTTGAGGATTGCTAAGGCTTTGACTGCATGAAGAAGATGTAAGCGAAATCCTCTCGAACGACTGGGTCGTACTTTACATGTAAATAGCTCTCCTCTACGGTCGTACCAAATTTTGAACTTATAGGTAGTTGAAATTATCAATGGTACATACACAAACATCTTGTATTTTTTTCAATTCATCATTATCTCGGTTCTTGCGGAGTAAAAAAATAATAGAGAATTTGTTTGGTTGGACTGCATATCTTTTCTCTAAATCTTAGTATAAGTTAGACTTAACAGAAGTATCGGTTTTTGTGAAAATTTTATCAGTCAGTATTTTGATCGAATCGTATCTCAGTAGTATAGATGAATCTAATAGCTTCGTGTAAGGCATATGCTTTCCGTTTTATCTCACTTAGAATTGTGGCTATTGTTTCTCGGGCATAAGGTCAAATATTGTGTATCATGCATAGCATATGATGTAAATTTTCTCGTAAAAGGGTTTGATTTTGTTTAATTCATAAATAAGTTTCTTTCCTGTCTTCTCCTCAGGAGTTCGCGAAGGAAAATCACATGCCTTTCTTAGAAACCAGCGCCAAAGATGCTACTAACGTTGAAGATGCATTCATGGAAATGGCTCGACAGATCAAAGCAAGTGCTACACCAATGCAAAATATGCTATCTTCCACTGTACCAGTTAATAGTACACAACCTATTAAGAAAAGTTCAGGATGTTGTTAATTTCTATATTATTTCGTATAATCTTGAATTTATTCGTCGGTTTATTTTCATGTGATGATTGTGCGCTTATCATCTTTTCTCTCTCTCTCTCCCTCTCATGTATCTCTTTACTACTACTACTACTTCATTACTGAACTTGTGATATTATTTTGTATCTGAAATTCACAGCACCGTTTATCTTATAGGATTGTATTTGTATTCAGGTGCTATAATAATAATAACGATAATAATAATAATAATCAATAACATGCAGTGCGTTCCAACCGTATTTTGTTGATGTATTTTATTATAGTTTCATTTTTTTGGGAGTAATTTATTTCCACCAATCATTTCTTCATCATCCGAGGTCCGATTTTTAACACCAACATACTACACACAAGACTGACTGACTGACTGCACCAGTATTTTTCCCCCTCTCTCTTTCTCTCTCTGTGGAATTCACACACACACACACACCTTTTAAAAGCTCTTGTTTTCGTTGAGACAAAAAAAATTGATCTATGTACCATATCTGTTTGTTCAATCCCTTCAATGGCACTAATAAAATATTTGATCTTGTTTGAGATATTCTAATAATTATCATGGGGTACCAAAAAAGGCCCTTTTCTTTCATCGTTCATAGATTAAGGTATGCTGGTGAAGCTTGAATATATATTGATGATTGCCTACATTCTTGAACGAATGTGTTGTTTCTTCATAAATGAATATATATATATATATATATATATATATATATATAATGCAAAGTAGGGTCGTAGGTGGGTCGGTCGGTTTTTCACATAGAACTTTGCACCGATATGCAGCAGTTCAAGTCGCCACACTCCCTCCATGTAGCACAACAAAGCAAGAGAAGAAAGTAGAAGAAATGCATGATAGAGACAGTAAACAGAGGTGTGAGACAAAGGAATAGTAATAACGAAGAACAAAACAGTTTCATTGGAAATCATAAGTCACAAGGAGTGGATGCATCTGTGCCAGCCATTGAGAACAATTTGCAGCCATGTCACCAATTGTTTCCAACCATTGGTTTTTACCGTCCCGAGGAACCCAACCAGGAAGTCTACACCTACCTATGTGGCTTAGACTAACTGTTGTGGATTTCATTGACTGGTGAAGCCATGTTTTGGTTTGACCGCCGCTAGCTCTTTTCCAGCCTGGCCCTATATCAGCCAACATTGCCCGTTGTCGAGGAAGGCGATGACCAGGCATACGTAACACATGTTCTAGCCATCTCAGTCTATGTAATTTCACAGCCTCGTCGATTGATTTCCCCTCCTTACCTAGCACTCAACCGATGGCTAACATCAATATTGTTTATCTTATTATACCACTTCACAGAGGATATAGAACGCAGGCATCTACGATCGAAGACAGCTAGCTAGGCTTTTCATATCTTCTATTTTCAATGGCCAGGTCTCACAGCCATAAAGGAGGAGAGAGTGAACTGCTGGGCAGTACACACGCCCTTTGGTCGATAGTTGGATATCACGTCTACGCCAGAGACGGCGTAAACTGGCATATGCGAAACTAGCCCTCTGTATTCGTGCTGAGATTTCGTTGGAGATGAACCCGTTGGCTCTGGCTGATGGTGCTTCCCAAGTAAGTGAAGTGGTCAACGTGCTCTACCACTTCACTTCCTATTTCTAATCTAGGGGTCGGTGTAGTCCAATCCTGCAGCATCATCTTACATTTTACAGGGGCGAATCGCATACCAAACATACGAAGATTGTTGCTCAAGGTGTTCAGTAGACTCTGCATTTTGTCAGCGTCCTCGCCTAGAAGGACTATATCGTCCGCATATTCTAAGTCGACGAGATTATTCCCTGGTAGCAAGTCAATCCCTGAGTCTCTGAAGTGAGTTAGGGTTAAATCCATTAGTACATCTATGATGAAGTTGAATAGAATTGGGGATAATGGGCATCCTTGGCGGACGCCACTAGTCGTCACCACTTCAGATGACAACTCGCCGTAAGCCGTCACCTGGCTGCATGAGTACGAGTAGAGTGCCTTAATCAGTGCAATGTATTTTCTCGGCATTCCCTTCACAGCCAAGCATCGCCAGAGAACCTCTCGGTCGACAGAATCGAATTCCGCCTTTAGGTCAAGAAATATAATTATTGTAGGTGGATGCTTTGCTTTTATGTATTCGTATGACGAGATGCCAGTCAGTGTAGCTGTGAAAAAAGAAGCATGACTTGCTACAATATTTTCAGTCGCTGTTTTGAGTCGGTCATCAGACAGACGACTTGCGAGTGAGTGAGTCAGTAGTCTTGGTTTTTCTAACCTATAATGTCTGACAGATATTTACTAACACAGGTACTCATCTTCCAGACAGGTCACTTGATCTTATTAGAAAGTTATTTCTTAACAGGTGATTGATTAGCTATTGCTGTCGAAGAGTTTAAAAAGTACTCTTAGAAATGTTCTCTACAAACTATGAACAGCCTACTTCATCTTCTTTGTAGCACTGAGAACGTGTAACCGAACTCCAGGTGGTGGTATCCTTTTCACAATGGGTTTATTCTTCTACGTAGTTAATAATAATTATATATATATATATATATATATATATATATATGATAACTCAGGATGTTAGCTCTTTTCGGTGAAAACCGAAAAATACACCTCACTGACTAGGACTGGACTTTGTTTGTTCGTCTGTTTGTTGTAAACTTAAAATACTCATAAACAGAATCCAACTGTGTTTATTCACTCCAGTTCATGTAGTAAGCGTTTCTGAAAACTTAGTTTTCTCGAACTCAATATTTGTTGTTGTGTGTCATCTGTCCAAGATTGAGGTTCACCGTAGGTGGAACTTTGCAAGGAAGTGTAACAGTTCACCTTGCCACACTCCATGCAACACATAAACGTAAATGAAGGATTCAAAAGAACTTCAATGGACGAAATATACGGGAAGAAGAAGAAGAATTTCATGGAGAAAAATGAGGAATTAATGGATCTAGATTATAAGAGCTACAAGCACTGTGCTTAACTAAATGTCGATTGATACCTACCCTACTAACTGATACCGTCAGGACTAGAGAGATTCACAGCTCTTTAGTATTTTATTTTTTCACCGGTTAAGTGTAAAATACTGTTATAAAATCGTGTATAGGAACCTGTGAATACATTCACCTTCACAGGTAGGTAGGTGGTGAACAACATTTCAAAGTCACCAACTTCATGTGCGTTTTGGTAGAGGGATCTGTTTGAGTTAGATTTCTATCTACCGTATCATGTATGTATATTGGCACAGCATAACTTCTCGGGTGGGATCTGTTTCCTAGATGATACCATGCGACTCAGTGGCTTGAGACATTCATTCGGCATAGTTTAGGTTCGTATTCGATGGACATCATATTGAGTAGTTCTGAGAAATGGTAGATAAGTTTAAGTATCAACTCGATTCATTTTGGACTTAAGTGTGAACATGGTATCTCTAGTCTGGTGACAAATGCAGTTAATCAAATTCATGATTTACAAATTACAAAGTTTTGAGCAGGTGAAATCCCACCACAGTTTTCTTTGAAAAAAAAATGTATATGATCCGCTTAGTATTATATAAATGACAGTCAAGCATGAGTGAGTGTTGCTACATATACTACTGGTTGGTTGGTATGAGTAGTAGTGAGATACCGGATCGTCTAGAGCCGATCATTTTGATCTGGCACATACTACTGGTTGATGTGATTCAGCGCTATGTGTAGCATCATGAATTGTTTTATTGTCGGTTTGTATTCCAAATAAGAAGCAATCGAGAGCGCTATTTCAGTTTTGAATACATAAGTGGTCACAAGGTTTCTTTTATTCATATAGTAGGTAAACGGATACTGAGTTTTATGTTTGTCTTCATTACCTATGCAAATTATATATCTGGAATATAATTTATAATTGTATTTTTAATTCACTTTTAAATATTTTGGTGTGGTTGTGTTCTCTGAGCTGGATGGTTTGGTTGCGAAGCTTTCATTGCTCTACTGAGCAACATCTTCAGCGCATACTTCGATGTGAAGTGAGCTTTTAGAATTCTCTATGAGTTTATTAGTCATCTCTTCTAGTAACCCTGAACGTGATTGGTTGTTTTCATGTGACATTTCACCCCCTAGTTTGCTTGTCTCGGTGCTGGCTGCTTCTTTGGTCTGAATGTCGTTAGTCATTCCTTCTGCTAACCTTTTAAATATAAATGGTAGTGATTATTTTATTTTATTAAGACTGGAAGTGTCACTTTAAAACTAAACTAATGAAGTACAATCGGCTGAGGGAACTCTAAACTTTCTTGATTGTCTTGTAAAAAGACAAACTGACACATTCCAACAAGTATTTGAATTTCCAATCAGATCATCCAATTGGGAATGAAAGTTTCAGTAGCTTTAAATCTCGTTAACAGAGCTAAAAACATTAAAACAGATAATGATAATGATATGGAGAACGAGATATCCAGTATAAAACGGAATTTGATTGGAAATGGTTATCCGGTAAAGCTAATAGATAATATTATCAATAAAAAGGAGCATAAGGGTAAACAGAAAATTGAAAAATCTTGGCTATCGACGATAACTATTCCATATCGAAAGGACACAGCTGAACAACTTCAAAGACTATCTGCTTCATATAATATTAAAGTCTGTCTCAAGCCCTCTAATTCTCTAGAGAAAGATATGGTTCCCAAAATGTCACAAAGTAATTGTGTCTATAGGATAAAGTGTTCAGAATGTGAAGCTTGCTTTATAGGAGAGAACATTAGACAGGTGAAGGTCAGGGTGAATGCACATAGACTATGCACGAAATGTCCCCGCCTAGAAATGAAGTAGAATTAAAAAGTCTAGAGAAAAGATCGGCTATAGCAGCAATGCATGCGATAGATAGCAGACGTAGGATTGATTGCGACAATGTCGAAACTCTTGGAAGAGAATCTCATTCACATAAAGAAAGGTTGTCTTCTGAATCCGTGCACATCTTAACCACATCGAATGCAGTGAATAGGAAAGAAGGGATAGACTTGTCACCAGTATGGCAAACTCTTATGAAGCAAGACAGATGAAACAAAAACCTCTATGAAACTCTATAACCTGTAAAAAATGTATTATCATGTTTATCACATGTGAATTGATGCGTTTTCCATGTGACAAATAACATACACTTTACACACTCATACAAAAAAAAATATACACAATAACAATTTGACATTAGTCATTACAAATATATGATGACTGCTTACAAATGTCTGTCGACAAGTGACCTTCAAATAAACTAACTTCAATTTATGTAAAATAATTTTTGCACTATATATCTTGATGATTCATAAAATCCGAATAATTCTGCTGAAGAAGCTGGTTGTGGCTTGCTTACACAGCGAAACGTTCACAAAACAGATCTTGTTTTGATATTTTCCTAAACACGCTGGGATTAGTTTAAGTAATTTATACTGAATCAATGTGACTTGGCGCTCAATTTATTCCAGGAAGTTCGTAACATCTACGGTCTGGAAACTTATAATTTACACAAATCTCTTTGGTGATTTTCATTCACTGTACTAGTTGAATTATTTGTGTTATTCACTATAATCGATTTGTATGCTGTAAGTTTTATTCAGCAGAAGACTTTGATTTGAATAATCATCTCGTATTCAATAGTAGTACGTACGACAGAACACACACACTTGAACAATAACTTCAGCGTATCTCTCGTTTTGTGTTGCCTTATTATTGTTTCCTTTAGT